TCTTGGGAAGCTGACAGCCTGTCCGATGTGTGCGAACACTCGCCGCATAGGGGAATAAACTAAACCCGTTTCAGAGCGCAGCCGTCCACTTACCGGAAATGACACTTAACAGGTAGCTGGTACACAGGTGCACAGCAACATACATTAATCGGGCGGCTTCTAATTCCCAGAAGAGATTTGCTTGCTATGAAACTATCCGTTATAGAGGTTTTACACGTTCAAACTACTTGACAGTCACAGGAACAATCTATCAAAAGAATGCTACCTACCACAGGCGGTACTAACAGAACCTGGAATGGTTACTATGACAGATTTGTGTTGTTAAGCGTTAGGTGAAGAAACAAGTGAATGCACAGATATAGAAATCCTTGCTTTAATACACGTTAGAGGTGAATTTCACTCAAAAACTGACATTCGGGAACACAAAAGCATTTGGACTTCAAACACAGAGCAAACGCAGACTTGCTTCAAAACCGAAAAGGGTTCGCAAACACAGAGCATGGAAACGGTAACTCTACCCACACAAGCAGTCTTACCTGAACCGTATTTGACATCGTGGGAATGCAATCTCACGTTGTGTCTTGTGTTAAGTAATTTTACCAGGGACCCGCAGGTAACGTAACTGAACTCCGACTCACGACCCTCGCATTGCAACAAGATGTAAAGCAGCAGAAAGAGCTTCATAAAGATGTGATCTCGGAAATCCCGGAATAACCTCATCGTTCGAAGTACAAGCGGAATTAATTTCTTTTATTTCTACAAAAGGGACAGGATGTAGAAAAGGCACCAACACGCTTTCAAACCGGCAGACTTCAGCCAATCAGCGCTTGACAAGTCGTGGTGTACGGAAGTCGTGGCTCCCACATGCTGCTTTTCCATTGGTCACTGTGGATTTGGGGGCGGAAATTTTAAACAGATTCTCTTATTCTGATTGGCTCTCCTTTGTTCCTGGTCGCAAGAGCCAATATCGTTCCGAACGTAAGTACATCTGCAGGAATTTAATTGGCTCTTTAGAAAACTTGGCTGCTCGGCTTCACCCAATGAGCTGCCAGAGACTCTGTGCACCAGCTTGGCAGGTCTACCACTTGTAAAGTAATATGTAATTGCGCTCCGCAACAAAAGTTCACTATTTGTAAATTTGAAATGTAGACAGGAATTTCGGGAAGACTATGGAATTGCAGTGCATGAAATTAAACAAGTTTTTTCTTCTTTTACTCGGTCTAAAATTATTTTCTAAAAATCCTAGGAAGAGCGGAAAGATCTTTCACAAATATTAAATATACAACACAGAAAAGCGATTTTTTCGAATTCTATGCATATACTTTTATGAATTGGTCTCGATTACATCACTGTTTTAACTAATCAGGATTAAGGAGACTGTCGGCCACGAGTTAAAGACTTGTATGAAGGTCTATATGGCTTGGATTGGGTGGACTGGAAATCACTGAAACGTACGAAATAGTA